TATCGGCCGTCATGTTGTTCTTGCCGTGCGGGCAAGAAAGCTGCTGCGGGAGCCGAGAATCGTCCGCAGGGTGAACCGGGCAGCTGGCGGGGTCATGATCGGCTCGGACGTGGCGGTGGCCGTCAGCCGTTAATCCTTGGCGGCAAGCAGGCGGACGGCAGCAGCCCTTTCCTCATCGGTCACCGAAGCGCCGGCAAGCATGCGGGCGATTTCTACCGTGCGGTGGTTTGGCTCCATCGTCGCCACGCGTGTGGCGATACGCTCGCTTCCGTCGCCGGAAGGACCCTTGGAAATGAGAAGACGCGTCGCCGCCCGCGCGGCCACCTGCGGCGCGTGGGTGACTGACAGAACCTGCACGGTTTTCGACAGACGGCGCAGCCGCTGGCCGATGGCATCCGCCACAGCCCCGCTGACGCCCTTTTTCGATTTGGTGGGGGGGGAGATGGCACGACGGCGGGCGCGGGTCCATGTGTCTGTTGCACACTTGGTGTGTGTGTGTGTGTGTGTGCGTGTGTGTGTGTGTGTGTGTGTGTGTGTGTGTGTGTGTGTGTGTGCGTGTGTGTGTGTGTGTGTGTGCGTGTGTGTGTGTGTGTGTGTGTGTGTGTGTGTGTGTGTGTGTGTGTGTGTGTGTGTGTGTGTGTGTGTGTGTGTGGTGTGTGGCGGTGGTGTGGAGGGGGTTGTGTGGGGGTGGGGTGGTCGGACTCTCCAGATCTCTCGCGCCTGGAGCTCGCTCAGCCTCGAGAGGGAGGGCGGGACGGTGCCGGAGAACGAGTTGTCGTCGAGCTCGAGCGTCTTCAGCCTGGGTGAGAACTGGGGGAGGCGTGGGGGAGATACGGGGAGATGCGGGGGAGATCTACAACTACTGGAAGCCCACCTCCCCAGCCGCGAGACCGAATCCATTATCGTCCCCGACATGCGCGTGCTGTCGACCTGCAGCTCGGTTATGGTGCTTCCTACAACCCGAGGCAGAGGGAGGGGTGTGTTGTGTGTGTGTGTGTGGGGGGGTGCTGCTAGGGCGTGGATAGGGGTTCCAGATCTGGCAACGGATTGAGGTAGCGCTACTGCTGCTGCCCGAGAGAAGCGATGAGCTCTCGGCTGTATCTGCTCTCGGCCGCGTGTCTCGGCTAGATCTCGGCTGGATCTCGGCTAGATCTCGGCTGGATCTCGCCCATCTCGCTCGGGAGGGTGCCCGAGATGAGCAAGGGCGTTCTCCGGGAGCCGCCGATGTAGATCCTGTCGAGGCGAGGCAGCTCGAAGACGCTCGCGGGCAGCGTGCCGGAGAGTGAGCTGTACTTGGCCCGAACCGCGATCAGCTCGCTCATCTTGCTGCCAAAGAGCTCGGGCGGCAGAGTGCCGGTGACGCCGAGGGTGCCTTTGAGGTCGAGGTACCTGCGTGGTGAGGACACACCCAGCGTCGGGGCGGGAGGATGGTCTTGTGCAGTGCATTCAGAGCACCGTGTGGACACGAGGTACGCATACAGCCGAACCAGCGGAGCCGAGAGTGCTGGTTGGAATACATTGACACGTATTCCGCTTCTAGTTGGAGGTACTCGAGCGAGGTGAGCTGGCCGAGCTGGACTGGGAGAGTGCCCTTGAGCCTGCCGATGTGCCGCAGATCCAGCTCCGCGACCTCGTGTGTTGTTTTGTTGCACCTGCGTCGTTGGGAGAGAGCGGGCCAAACCTGTGCACGGGCACTCTACAGGCTCGCTTGGCGTAGGCGGGGGTACCTGACAAACTCCTTATTGCAGCAATCGATCGAAGGGTCGGGCCACTGCCATCCGACGTCGTACCCAACGAACCGTCCGTTCACTTCCTTTGTCCAGTCCTTCCCGTTCAGCGCCTTGTGCACGGCGGCGAGGACCCCGTTGCAGTCGAGAGTCGGCGCGAGCGCACGGTGCGCCCTCGCCGGAGCCGCCAACGGTGATGCGGCGGCGACGACGGCCGGATTGCCCGACGCTGCCGCGAGCAGCACAACGAGCATTTCGACCCAACCTGGAATGCTCCTCGGCGCTCTCCGACGGCTAACCTCGGAGTACAGTATAGCCGGTTGCGGCACCTTCAGAAAAATCGATTCGAAAAAAATCGTCTCGTCTCGTATAGGGTCGCGTCTCGTCTCGTATCGTCTCGTATCGTCGTCTCGTTTTCTCGATGTCCGACTGGGCTCCCCACCGGCGGCGGGCTTGAAGACACTGAGCCGAGCGCGCCGGCGGCGGACCGCCGCCGGCGCGCTCGCTTCGGCGGATGGCTGAGCGGCACAGTTTCTGGCCGCCCGGCCTGCGAGCAGTTGCCGCGAGACGATCGAAGGCGCTCAGTTCAAGCGCGCCGCCATGCCAGATCTCGCCCCACGCCCCGACCAGACCGGGCAGTGCGTGCAGGAATGATGCAGGCATGATGGGCGGGTGTGGTGAGCACGCCAGCGGCACCGCTGCGCACTCTCAGGGTCGCAGCCGCCTATCTCGTGAGGGGCGTGGCTCGGGGCGGGTGCGAGAGAGTCGAGGAGCGCGGCGCGCGTGCGCGCGCGTGGTAAAGTCGGTTTATATTTCATCACTGGTATAAAAGAGACCCAAAACGGCACTCGCGCCGCGCCCACGCGCGCTCGTATCACCTCAACACTCACACAGCACGCTTGAATGAAGCCCCCAGGGGCGAGCCGGACCGGCTGTGGAGCTACTTGGAGGAGACGGTTCTCTTCGCAGATCCATGAGGAGCTGTGAGGAGGCACATTTCCGGCTAGTTTCGGCTCCGGACTGTGCTGGACTCACGTGGAACCGCCGGCGGGGCGAGAGCCAGCAGCGCAAACCGCGCCTCCGGTGCTCCGCTGCGATGACGAGCTGGCGCCAGCCACGCGCGGCCTGGCCAGGTCGGCAGGATTTTGTCCGAGTGTCTGGCGTCTCACGTCTCTCGCGAGGAAGGCGCACCGAGGCGTCACGAGACGATCCGACCGAGACGAGACGATCCGATACGAGACGATACGAGACGAGCGATCCGATACGATACCAGACCGGAAATTTGGATTTTTGTTTTTTCGCAAGGTGCCGCAACCGGCTCTACTGTCCCGTTTTGCTGTTCACAGCTAGGGACGGCCGTACTTTGCGCGTGCGCGCGGCCTGGCATGCGCGCGGTCGCCTCGCCCGAGCAAGCAACCGGGGGGGGGGGGGGGGTATGAGCGATAGCCCCGCGAGGTACGAGCGGGGCGGTAGCCTTTCTTCACATACCGAGCTCAACGGTCACGAGAGAAAACGCGCATGAAAAAAAACACATGGCGCCACCGTGAAACGAGGCGGAGGACGCACGTTTCGTAAAGTACGTACTTTAGCTACTGGGAGACAAGGGAGAGGGAGGCGCGATTTCTAAAGTACGATCCAGACTGGGCACGCGCCAGACGAGCCAGCCTAACGCTGGTGGCTCGCGGCGCGCTGGTACCAACAAAAGCGCCCACCATCCATCCCCTGTCACCGCTCTGACTACTGACCGAGCAAAAAAGTACTGCGAGCACTGAATGAGGTTAAAGGCCTCTCAACCGCACAACCAGCACAGGTGCTCATCGGAGCAGTTGGCAACCTCCGCGAGCGAATAGATAGGTGTGGCAGGCTTTCGGAGCACACCAACAGCCCAGAATCTCTCCCCTAAGGTTCGCCCGCACCGCCCTGATCATCCCCCATTCGGAAAACAAGACCGTGCGGAAACGCACGAACGCCTCTTCCCGGCTCAACCCTCCCTCCATCTT